TGTGCGGGGATGTCACATGGAGATGGGTAGAGACCTGTTCTCCCCTGCAGAGGAAGGCAGGATGCGCTCCAACAGAGCAAAGCTCAGGGAGCCAAGGTTCCATTTGGATGCCAGGAAGCATTTCCTGACAGTCAGGACCCCGAGGGTGGGAATGGGCTTCCACGGGAGGTCATTGAGGCCCCATCGGTGCGGGTGTTCAAAGATAGGCTGGACATGCACATGGTGGGCATGTCGTGAGTGGAGCTGGCTGGAGCCGGAGGTCAGACTAGATGGCCTGGGAGGCCCCTTCTGACTTGCTCTATGTTTCTATGATACCCTGAGAGGCTATGCACATCATGGAGGCATTAGCCACCCTTGGTTTCTTGTCCCATATCTATTAATCAGAGGTACACTGTGCAAATGAGACTCTGATTTTGCCCAAAGAGACATCCAGAGCTAGTTTAAAGTTATTTAACAGTTCAATATGTTTGACAATATATTTAACTTAAGTAGAAAAATAGTGAATACCTCTTCAATTTATTAAAACAAATAAGAACATGCCACACAGGAAGCCTTAGGATACTAAAGGTTTATAGAGAAAAGTAAATGCAAAGGGACATCATGTACAGAAATAAAATGTGAAACATGCAATGATTATAAAGAAAAATGCATGTATACCCATGAACCACACAGCCATAAAGCTCATGCTGTACTACATGTAAAGATTATATTGAGCAAAGTAACTTACAGCTTAAGTCTTCCTGAGACCTATTAAAAAAACAGTATTAAGAAAACTATATTAGAGCACCAAACATCTGAGTTGGTCCAGCACTCTGAATTCTGACATAGCTCAACTTAAACTGTGACTGCAAACTCATTGAAAGCACAGTCCTATGGTCAGGAGACACTGTCTGGCTGGGCACAGGCAAAGGCTCAGAAATGTGCTCCAAAAGCGGAGGGTGTCGTGCCCTCCCAGGTCTGTGTGGCTCTTTCCATGCCAGTGGCTGCACTGCGGTCACAAGACTCATCCTGGCGCTGGGACCAGGGAGGTGAAAGTGAGAGGTGGGGGGAGAGCGAGAGGCCTCCCTGCTGGCTCCTCAGCCTGTCCTCCCCGTGAGCAGGCACAACAGGCTTAAGATGGCTGGATTTTTTTAAGAGGGTGCATTTAGTCTTTTATTTTTTTTCTTTTTAACAACAGAGTAGGAGTGCGCTTACAGCCTGCTAAAAGAGAAGGCCCGTCCACCATATTCCCCTGTAGAGGAGCTGCCCCACAGCAAAAGCCGTCCTGAGGCTCATGCGAATGGGACGGCATACAAAAACTCCAAATAAATAAATAAATAGGGGGAGGCAGACACCAGCTCTTGCCCCTCATCGCCCTGATTTCCCCCAAGAAGCCTGCCAGCTAGCGGCTGAGGATGTTCCTGCAGGCTTCAACCGCAGGGAGACTACAGGGCTGCAAATAAACCAAGGTATTGCACTTCCAATGGGGGTCAGGGCCAAATGCAAAGGGGTGGGGGCAAAACAGCCCCCCCCCCCCAAGTACTGTAGCCAAAAGCTTTAAATTCCAGTAGCAAGGCCCTAGGAGAGACAGTTCAAACTTTAAAAACAGGGAAAGCATGGGACAGAAATCAGGGTCCCACCAAAGAGGGAAATGGCCTGGGGACCTGGGAGAGGGACATGCCTGCCTGGGCAATCCCCATTGGCCAAGGCTGACATTCTGCACCCTGAGCGTTTTCTCCTGTCAAAGCACGCAGGGGCTTGAGCTGAGTTCACCACGGATTTCCCCCACCATGCCTTCCACAAAAGCATTCTTCTCCTCCTTGCACCAAGGGCAGAAATGGCAGCACTCTTGTGTTCATGGAAGCCACTTTGCACTGCAGGCCAGCGGTATGTGCACCTTTCCAGGATGTTTTGTCATGAGTAGGTCAGGTTGTACGGTTGCTCCAACCCTGTAAGTAAATGCAGTGCCCGCTAGCGCAGGAGGTTTCACAGCCGGGGAGTACAATCGTTCCGACAGAGCCAAGGCTTGCGCAAGGAGCCCACAAAGAGAGGTTTACATTGATGTGTGGAACCTCTCTGCTTTTGGTAAAGACATTCAACTCACTCTTTTTTACACACAAAAGCCAGGGCAGCGTTTCCAACATCTTGATTAATATTTTGTAGGGCTGCTGCGGGTCATGTAAAATGGCACAACAGGCTGGATCCAGCCAGGTGCCCATCCCCAGGGCTTGGAAAAAGAGGACTGGCTGGAGTCTGACAGAGGCGGTGCTGGGTTGCAGGAGGTGCATGGCGGGATCGCTGGCCACCTCTCATCTGCCCGCAGTGCCTGACCAAGGACTGCACTGGTCTGAATTCCAGGAGCACCAAGACCCACGCTGGTCCCTCCTCAGTCCCAGCAGCAACAGACCTTTGAGGCACAAGACACGTGGCTCAGCCATCACTATGGCGTGCTTTCCAGAAGCATCGCAGCCCTCCAGCCCCTCTCAAACAGCTGGCCCTCCCACAGCACTAGCCACCCCCTGGAGCACAAGAGACGGAAGACGGAGGGGTCACAAGGCAATCTACGTGTAGGACCTGCTCTCTTCCCCTGGGAAAAACTCTCAAAAACGTCTTCCAATATATTGTAGGAGGGATCACAAAATGCAGATAATTGACCTGGCCTGCACATAACGCCACCCCATAGATGGTTAACCCAATCATGTCGCTACCCAGAGTTTGCCTGGCAGAGGTCCAAATAAACCATGCTTTATTTTCTCAGTCCCTGGGTTGTTCCCCTCCTCTTTCACCCAATCCCTCCCTGTAGCCCAACAGCTTTTGTAGTTGTGCTTGTACAGCCAGTTGGGGGTTGTTTTCACTGTTCTTGCCCACCATCCCTGCGGACTGGTGAAACAAACTACCTCCCACCCCCAGTTCTGGGTTTCCAGGCAACAAAGGACCATGGTTTAAGCAACCCTCCAAATCACAGCCTTCAACTGAGAAGAGCTGAGCAAGGCTGTCGTCGAGAGGACGGGCTGGAGGGCTTCCACTCATAGGGTCGCATGTGATGGCTCATAACATCAACAAGAGTTCATCGCCCCACAACATATTATGGCTTCTCTTTCCAGCCCGTTCGTGCTCAACAAACCATGATTTGCTGGCACAGCCACATTTGCACAACACAACAGAAAATCAGAACTGAACGACCCAAACCAGAGGTCAGCATATGCAAACGACACCAGCTTCTTAGGGACACGTGGCCCAAGGCACTTCACTCCAAATCCAAATGACAAATGGCACCTGCAATGCTACAGGAGACTCAGCCCGGCCACCACAGATCCAGCACCACGTGCTCCTGCCACAGCGTCTAGCGGGCGATAACCCCAATAATTTTAACCCAAAGGGAATTTTCAGTCGGACATTCTGACAGCACTGGAAAGACGCCAGCAACGTTACACAGCAAACACTAGACAGAGAGGAGGAGGGAGGGAGGGACCTGAGGCACTTGTAGAATTTACAAAATGATTGAGCAGAGGTGGGCGAGGAAGGATGAGAGGGAAAGTGGCAGCTAGAAATCCAGGCAACAGATTTGCTTAAAAATACAACCTTCAGATACCACTTTTCTGTCTGCATCTGCTGCATTCATCTTCCCTCCTCCTCCAGCAGCAGCCACATTACCCGCTCTCTCTCTCTCTCTCTCTCTCATCCAAACATAAAACCTCCTCAGCACCTTGCCTTCTACATTTCAGTGGGCATACAGAAGTCCATCCTGCCCCTCAAATGGAACATGGAGGGGGAGATGCACACTCCACAAGGCTGCCTCTTAAATATTCTGAGGTGGCAGAGCACTCCGAGAATGCACGGCAAGGTCCCTTCGTGAGCAGCAGGCATCAGAGGAGGGGGAGAGTGAGGCACCAGCTTCCTCTGTAGCAAAGCTGGGCTACTCCCAGCTTTCTACAGGCTTGCACTGCCCAACAAGCTGCTGCCCCCCTTTCCCTCCACCCGACAGCACCAAATACACCCCAGCCTTTACATGCAATATTCTCAACCCTCAGAATCTTTCTGAATCGCCCGGTGCAATCCAGCCACCCACGACAGGACAGATACGTGAGTGCAGCCAGTGGACCTCAGCAGAGGAAGCTCATCTGAAGGAGGAAACATCAATTCATGTGCGGCAAGGAGCTGATGTCATCTCATCCACCAGTGTGGAGAAATGTGGAGGGTTCCCTCCACCCAGCAGAAGGTAAAAAGAACGAGTGTCATCTACAATAGTCTCCCATGAGCCAGAGGCAACTTAAATCTGTATTAATGAAGAGAAACAGGGTTGCAGAGACTTCTGCTCTGAGCCCAATAAACCTGTGGAATAAGCTTGTTGCCACACGCAAGGGATCAACTCTCCCGTTCAGACTTTAAACCCTAGATTAAGACATGGGAAGCCAAGAGTTAGTGCAGCTGAATCAACTGCAGTGTAGGTTTCCACATGAGGCTCCGGTGCTGATGCCGAAACATGCAGACAAAGCATTGAGCACCACACTACCTCCGAGTCTGGGGTGTACTGTCCTCAGGGATGGGGGTGCTATAATGCCAAGAAGACTCAGGAGGCAGAATCCACCACCTTCCTTAACAAGCAGCAGGCAAAATCTGCCTGCAGTTACAACTCCATTTGGAAGGAAGAAATGGGGAAATGTTAAGTCCCTGCTTCTATCCTTGCCTACTCCCGAAAAACAACAGGACTTGCTCGGTATTGACTCTTTCTGCTCACCTACCCAAAAGAAAATCACAACTCACAAAGTGGCTGCAGCAGCACTGGGGAAAAGAGCAAGATGTGCTAAGTCTACAGCACATTCCATGCGCCCTTCTGAATCTGTTGCCACTAAACCAGGGAAGGAGTCGGAGACGAGAGATGCACCGATCCTCTTACCTGCTTCTCTGCTGGCGTGGGGGCTTCTCCACCAGGCCTGTGGTTCTGGAGAGGGGGCAGGGAGAAAGAGAAGGCGATGACAGAGGGGACAAGCAGCGACAACAACCCCCTCCCCACCCAGCAAACATAAGCACATCATTGCAAGGAACCAGCAGCATCACACCTCCTGTCAAGCCCAGCCTTTCAGACTCAGAAGACACCCTAAGTACTGGAAAGCAAAGGGGACCCAAGAGGGGCTAAGAAAAGGCTTTGCCCCTCTGGAGTTCTACTGATCTAATATGGGACATGTGGAGTATTTCCCCCCACCCCTCACACACGCGATAAGCACAGACAAAACCCTGACGCACAAGTTGTGCTTGCCTCCCGGTTCTGGGGTTCAGGCCCCCTTGCCTTGTTAGATCTCCCTATCCTGTCTGTGTCCCAGGCTGTGCTTCAGAGGAGCAGACATCTTCTCTGAGCCCACAGTACTGTCCCCGTTCAGCAGCGGTCCTGTTCCTGCTGCATCTGCTGCTTGTCTTCCACAAGCCATTCAGCAACATCCGCTCTGAGAGAGGTTTCCTCTCTTTAAATCCACCATTAGCACTCCTGTTTGCTCATATCCACACCACTGATGCCTCCTCTTCCACCCAACACAAGCCACCAGCCCTTGGCTACCTACCCCAGGCCAGTCCTGACCTGCAGCTGATGCAATTCACCCCAAAAGGCATATCAGCCACAGTCCCACACACACCCAGCAAATCCATGCCCTACCGCCATCAGTACCCCAACATCTTCAGTGTCTGCAACTTGAATCTCCAACGGCTTCTCACCTCAGATGATCCCTCCACCCCAAAGCATACATATATTCCATCCTAACATTCCACTCCAAATGGCACCACACTTCATGAGAACTTCACCTATCCTGCAAGACTCAACCAATATTGTGCCAAATATTGAACCCACAACGAAACACCTCTGATAGCTTTCCTAGTACCTTGGATGCCATCGATTTCCCTCACCCATGGTTAATTCAGCATACAAACCCCCAACTCATAAAGTCCCCCTTGCTTTGCTCACCCCTACCCTTCTACTCCAAGCCTTCACACTTCTCATTGACCCCTGACTGCTCCAGGCTGCAATATCCACATACCCCAAACAAATGCCTGTCAGCAGCTCCAGTCCCTCAGCCAGTTCTGCACCAGCCCATGCTTTTTTCCCTTCCCAAATTCCTCATCATCCTCTCCTCAATTTTCCCCCAGCCTCAAACACAATACAAACAGGTAATCCTTCAGCCCATACCCTTCTGTAGGTCAGCATACATCCCTCAACCTCTAAACTTCCTCTACAGCTGGTCTGGATTCATATCCCACAAGGCCCTTCCACATTCTATTGGAAGTCTATATCTCCCTATGAATCCTATATACCAGACCCCACAGGGAAGACCCTAGTCTCTACACACACTTTCCTCCTGCCAAGACCTCATTTGCCATTATTCCTGTACCCTCCATTCCCTTGAACACCAATGAGGTGCCATTGCAGTTACCCGCAATTCCTTTGCTCATCTGGCACAAACCCCTTAATTTAGGCCATTATTTGTCTATTAAGAAACTATGTCACACCCTTATTCTTTCCTGCAAGGAACCCAGAGAGACTCACCAAATCCCCTTGCTTCTCTCCATTTTACCTCCACAACAGCCTTGTGAGGTAGTTCAGGCTGGGGGCCAGCAATTGGCCAGAAGTCACGTGGTAGGAGGCAGCCCACACCTCAGCACCCTTCAGCATAGATGCCCTCCAAGGCAACCCTCACCCCCTTACTCAAGCATGCCATACCCCCAGATTCCCAGACCCCACAAAACAGCTCTCAACATGTCAGATGAGCCACCTCTCTTCCATACTTCGCCCTCCTTGACACCCAAGTCCCCAAGCTGCCCCCATGCCCCTTTTGCTCCAGACCCCACGGGATCTTTCATCCCAGCTTCCCCACACTCAAGGCGACCCCCAACCATGCAAGGACCCGCCAAATCCTCCCATTCCCTCAAACCCTCTGAGCCCAAACCCCACAGCTTCCCCACACCTGATACCCCAGACAACCCTCAGCGCATCAGAGGACCCCGAACCCCCAACTCATTTCATTCTCTGAACCCCCCACCCTCATCCCCCAGACCCTCTCACGCCCCACTGCCCCAGGTTTCCCACTCTCAGCACCCCGGATACCCCCACAGGTGACCCACAGCCATCACAGGACCCCCGACCCATTGCCCCAAGCCCCCATCGAACCCCTCACAACCCTCAACCCCCACAGCTTCCCACACCCAGCACCCCAGCCAAGCTCCAGGCGACCCCCACCGCTCAGGGGACCCCACCCGCACCCTCCCTGCGCCCCCCAAGCCCCCGCCGCGCCTCCCCAACGCCGCGCGCCCGCCCCACAGCGCCGCTCTCGCAGTGCGCGGCCCGAAGGCAGCGCCCCACGGCCCCGCCCGAGGCGCCTCACCTGGAGACCGGGCCGGTGTGGGGCGGACACGGGCGGGCAGCCCCTCTCACCATCCGCGCGGCGGGCGAGCGAGGCAGTGCCGCCCCCGCCTAACCTGGGCCCGGCCTCGCCGGGCCCGCCCGCCCGCCGCGCCGGCGCTCTCATTGGCCCAGCGGCTCGCTCCGCGCGCACGATTGGCTGGGCGGGCTGCCCGTCGCTCTCACTAGGAGGCGGGGGGACGAGCGCCACCATGCGGGCCGAGCGCGGCACTGCATCTCGGACCGCGTTTTATCAGGGGCGCGCGATTGCAGCGGGGGCCCTTTCGCGGGTCGAGGGAGAGGAATTTAAGGTATGTATGCTAAATGCTGCCATATTATTATTTCTTCATTACGCTTATGCCCCGCCTTTTCTCTCTTGCAAGGAGCCTAAAGCAGCGTACACGCTCCTCCTCTTCATTTTAGCCTCACAACAACCCTGTGAGGTAGGTGCAGCAGTCCTTTCTGTGACTAGCCCTGAGCAAAGATTCGAACCCAGATCTTCTGAATCTCTGTGCAGCACTCAAATGGCTGCACCATGCTGGATTTCCACGATATTGATTTTGTTCAGGGAAATGTTTAAGAACCTGGGGGTATCCCTGATGTTTGCTACAGTTGTATCCCATCCTTTTCCCTTCAAGGAGCTCACAGTGGTTTCCACGACCCTTCTCTCCATTTGATCCTCACAACGACCCTATGAGGTAGGTTAGGCTGAGAGTCCCTGACTGGCCCAAACTCAGTCGTGGCCAAGCGTGCGGATTATTATTACTGGTGTGTGCCTTATTTTCCTCTTGTGAGGAACCCAAGGTAGCTTGTATAGCTCTGTTTGACCCTCACAGCCAGGGCCGTCTTAATGCATGGGCCTGATGGGCACTTGCCCGTGGGTCCCATACTAATCCTTGGAAAATCGGAAAACCTCCAAAATGAACAGTAGTTGTAGTTGTCGTAGGGACCCCAGTACACTGCTTTGCCCGGGGCCCATCATGCTGTTAAGAGGGCCCTGCTCACAATGACCCCGTGAGATAGGTTAGGCCAAGAGTAAGGAACTGGCCCAAAGTCACCCAGTCTGCCCAGTCCAACACGCTAACCACTGCACCTGCTTAAGGAGAGGGGGCGCCATATGTTGTTACCTTTTTCCAGGTATCTCGGGGGAGCTTCTACATATTGTAGCATCAAAAACCCGGGACTGCTGGTCGTTCTAGGCCTCATAGTTTGGCTAAACATGCCTGAGGCTGCACCGTAGGTCATGGTGCTGGCCTGGGTACTGTCTTTAACAATATGCATGTCCTGTAGCTGTCATGCTTGCCTTGTATTTTAATGATGTTATTGTTTGAATCCATTCTTTCTGGAAGTTGCCTTGTTTTGGATAGAAAGGTAGGGTGCAAATTAAATTAGTAAACATGCGTATTCCACCACTGCCCCATAAAATAATAGTCAACATGTTTCCACTGAAAAAGGGATGCGGGGGGGGGGGCTGCATGCCCCCATCCAGACTTTGGACCACTGCAGATTATCCAGAGAAAGAGCCATGGTCAATGTCTGCTTGGAGGTGCACCAGAAGCGTGCCTGCTCCAAGGCGACGTTTTTCGGGCAAGACAAAGTCAACGGGGGGCAGATCAAGACTTATTTCATAGTGCACAGAAACTGCTGTAGTTTGTTCTGGTTGCTCACACGACTGTATTTCAGAGTTTCCTTGTTTCCAGGCTTTTTGACCACCTCTAGCCTTGTGCTTCACATCCAAGAAAAAGAAACCCAGAACGAATTCTGCCTAAAACTCGACTGCGCCCCAGAACATGGGACTTCATGCACCCTCTCCACTTACCTGCAGCTGTGCATTTAGGGACACTTGGCTGGGAAATGATGAGGGCAAAACCCCAGGCTGGGCCTTTGCTTTTATCCTTCTATTCTCTTGCCCAGGCCCCCTGTTTTAGCTTCCTGTCCAATTCCTAACATGGACTTCAGTGTAATGGGCAAATACCAGAGGTTCCTCTGTAGCGGTCCCCATATGCAAAGTGCCCTTTCACATCTCTGCAGACATGTAGACACCACACTAAAACCTTCCTGTTCCAACATGCATTTGGGGCCCAGTCCTATGCATCCTTAGACAGAAAAAGTATTGCAGCTCCCAGCATCCCCTGCAACCATGTTGGCTGGGGAATGCTGGGAGTTGTAGGACTTTTTTTCCTGCTGGGTGGGGAATGCTGGGACTTGCCAAACGTTTTTCTCTGCCAACATATATAAGGACTGCATCTTAATTTTTAGTGGAAACGTGGGGTATAGCTTTTTAAAAGCCTAAATAAATAAATACGATATCCATTCCAGTACCCAGCTAATCGCACGGATTAATCTTGGGGAGATCACATTAATGCTATTATATTTATTATAACAATGATTATTATATCGCTGTTATCAAGAGGCTGCACTGCTCTTTTAATTGCATTTTGTTTATTGAGTTGCGCTGCTTCAAAATTGCTCAATAATTCGATTACTATATCGATCAGCTCCGAGGTAAACGTTTTATCCTCTCCCATCTGGAAGCATGGACTAACCCATTACGGGAGCGGGGGGGAAAGGCCGTAAAACGGCATCGTCGCTCCGCACCTCCCTCCCCGTCTCATTGGTAGATCCGGAGCACGGGTTTCCTGTCCCTTCCCGGCTTCCGTCCTTTCCGCGTCGGCGGCTCGGTACCTTAGCTGCTGCAATGGTGAGGACTAGGGCGAAGCCGTGGCAGAGGGAGGGGGGTCGGACTTAATCCGACTCCATCGGGCCAAGGAAGTGGGGCTCGGTCCGTGGGTGCGGGTGGGTTGGCACGGGGAGCGGCCAGAGGAGCTAGGCAGCCCCAAATGGCTGGGCGGCGACCGAGGACCTTCGCTGGATGCGGGTAGGCCGCGCCGGGACAGGCTTTGGAAATGCAAGGCCATGCTTTGAGGAGTGCGGGGAAAGAAGGAAAGAAGCAGCGTCCGGGCTTGAAAGCGGGGTGCTCTGTAACCGGTTTTGTCTAAAAAGTTAGGAGGTTTGCATGGGAGAGGCGTTTTCACACGTGACGCTGGCGAACCTGGGTTGGCCACCAGCAGTTCGTTTGAGAACGGGCAGTGGCCAGTTCTGTTTCCCGAAGCCGCTTGGGCTGGCTCATGCACGTGCGTGGTTGTCAGTCAGTAATAGCAGCAAAGCTGTGGCAACATAAGAGGCTTGTGGAACCAGAGCAAAGGGGTATCCAGGCCAGGGTTCTGCTTATACGGTGGCCCACCAGCTGCCACATGCGAAACCCAAAAGCAGGACGTGAGCGCAACAGCACCCTCCCACCCATGGTCCCCAGCAGCTGTTGTACAAAGGCATCCTTATTCTGATCCGGGAAATAGCATAGAGCCATGAGGACTAGTGGTCGCTGGAGACTTGAGGAGATGTATCCTTGCCCTAGCTGGCGAAGGAACAGTGTCAGCTTCTACCAAGGCAAGGATGCAACTTGTGGGGGTCATTTGGTGGCCATGCACCAGATAAACATTTGCCTGAGGATTGCATTTTATTTTGTTTATTACTCTCATCCACCGCCCAGAAAGTTTTAGCCACTGGGTGGTATAATAAGTGAATGTGGGTTGATGGTTTGCTTTACTTAACTATAAGCTGGTTTGGGACCCTGTTTGGATGAAGGAGGATGTGAAAATGTTTTAACTAAGGTTTTGCCTCACAAAATGGAGGATGTGCAGATTATCCTAAGTTACAGACTGTAGTGCGTAACCAGGCATGCAGGGAGTTTCTGTGGAAAAATTAGGTACATTTTTTCACCCCCCAGCAGTATGGACAGCTGTTGAACATCTTCCAGCTTCATGTTGTGGGGATTGGCAATAATTGAAATAGTGTTTCACTCAGTTTGTGTTAATGATTTTGCTACAGCAAAAATAACAAACTGGGATCCTGGTGTGACTGAAATTGAAGAATTAACCATTATCTGGACTTGAGGATGCAGCTACCTTGAGGCATTGGAAGTCTTCAGAAGTGCATTTCTGAAACCTGCAGTCAGGTTTTTACTCTGTATATGCCTTAGGCACAATTAATAAAACTTTGTGACATGTTCTGTCCCTCTCTTACACATTTTTGGCTCCTGAAGTTGTAGCTAAGGTTTTGCTCGTGACTTTGCAACTTTAAAGAGAAATCTACTTGTTTTAAGAGACAGAGATTTCTAGAAGCAAGATAACAGGAATGGCAAACTTGTGGTCCTCCAGATGTTTAGGCCTACAACCATCTGGCCTGGCCAACCTAGCAAATGGTGAAGGATTTGGGGGATCGCAGGCCAAACACATTGTGAAGGAATCGCACAGTCCCTGATCACTGCTGTCTTACACATTGTTCTGTGCTGTCACAGATGTACCTTGGCTAAGCAGGTCCACAGGGAGGATGCATCTGGTGGATCAGCCCACTCTGGGTGGTGGCTTTTGAGGTGTCCAGTAGAAACAAAAGCTTTTAAAAACATGCGGTAAACTGTTCTCTTTTTGGCCTTCCATGTAGCACTGACAGCCAGGACAACTGTTGCATGGTTACATCAAGACAGACAAGCAGGGCGATCTCCCTTGGCAGTGACTTTGTGTGATTTGCCCTCCAACACCATGTGCGTTTTATTCTTAGGCCAAGATCAAAGCCCGTGACTTACGAGGGAAGAAGAAGGAGGAGCTGCTGAAGCAGCTGGATGACCTGAAGGTGGAACTGTCCCAGCTGCGCGTCGCCAAGGTGACTGGCGGAGCAGCCTCCAAACTCTCCAAGATGTGAGTCTTCCAGCATCGCTTTGCTGCAGCAATCCCTCTGCCAGGGATCCCGGTGGTGGCAACTTTTAGCGTGGCAATCCCCTGCCATCCCATTGACCTTCTCAGGTGACAAAAGGTGTTGTAGCTCTCAGAACCGATTGCTGGCCCTGCCAGTCCAAGCTTTTGGCGTGTGGGGCAGGGTGGGAACCACTGAGAGCAGGTGGGATACAGGCCTCTGCCACGGACAGCACGTGGCCTCACGTGGCTGAAACTTGTTGCCCTGCACCATTAGTCAGCTCGGACCAGAGACAGTTGTATTTGGAGAGCTCCCCCCCCACACACACACACACAAGCACACCCTGGTGCTAAAGGAGCTCTTGGTCTCTCTGAAAAGGCAGCTTTTGCGCTACGTTGAGTAGACCAGGTTGGCCCTCTGCAGTAACTGAGTGACAGAACACAGCAGTGTTGCTCCTTGCCGAGTCAGACGGCGACTCCTGTAAAGAGGGACATCCTCTTCCCAGGCCTTTTGGGAGACTGTTTTTCTGTCTTTGTCGAGTTAGAGGGCAACCCTGTGCTTGACCCCGAGCGTGCTGGCTGGGAATGCTGGGACGGCAGGGCTCTGTCTCAGCATTCATGGGACTGCACCCATAGGTGCTTGACAGCCAGAGGAAGTGCCGGAGTGGGATTTGGGAGACCCACATTCTAGTCTCCAGTCGCCATGGAGCTCACTGGGTGATCTGGGGCCTGTCGTGGGTTCTCAGTTTCACCTATGCCACCGAGTGGTTGAGGATAAAATGGAGAGGAGGGCAAACACGTGCACTGCGCTGGGCTCCGTGCAACAGGGAAGAACGTGGGATATGCATTGAATGTATTTTAAAATGTAGTAACAATTGCCCCAAAGCAAGTTGGTGAATCCGGGGTCCTAAGCGAGTTCTCCAAATAAACCCACAAGAGCGGCAAGGCTGCTGAAGGGTGGGCAGTCTGCTGCCCCATCCCGCTGCAGGTGAGGGGAAGTCCTACTTTCCTCCCTGAGGGAATGCAGTGCCTTGCCGCGCTGAGCCTGGGCTAGGGTGGGATCTGAAGATGCACTGTCCTCAGTGATACAATAGGTGCATTGTTCCTCGGATGAACGCACCCTTTGCCAGCAAGGAATATAAGCCCCTGGCGTGCTGATGCGATGCTGTGCGCTTGTGGGCCGCCTGCCATTCGCCGGCGCTGAAGCCTGTCTCCCTTTTGCCCTTTACAGCCGGGTGGTGCGCAAATCCATCGCCAGAGTGCTGACAGTCATTAACCAGACCCAGAAGGAAAACCTCCGGAAGTTCTACAAAGTGAGTCTGAACTTGCACATTTCCCCCTTTCTCCACACCCTGCCTCTTCTCTTGACAAGGCCTTTAGTGGGGCAGGAGGAACAGAGCTGTGGGCCCTTTTTTTGTCTAATCATACATAGGATTGCACTTTAAGGTGCTCAAATACGGGTTTATCTTAAATACTTGCTTTCAATTGGTTGCAGTTATTGTATGTGCCTCCTTCCAGAATAGAAATCCCACCAATGGCTTACAAGAATTTTAGCAACACCAGCTCAATGAAGAATATTGGCTTCCTTCACAATACATACATACACAGTCAGGAGACTTCCCTCTGGGTGGTTGGTTGAAGACGGCCTGGGAGCAGGGAGAGTCCGTCTGGAGCAGGAGTGGGTGCCTGGTGGTGTCCTCCGCTCTTTCCCGCTGGCCTGGAAGCATTCCCAGAGGCTCATTAATAGCAGATGGCCCAGGGTGGGGGGTTGGGCTGGAGATCTTCTTTCCATCCCCTCCACACTTCCTGGAATCTTCGCATACAGCCCATCTCCTGTCTGGTGGGTGGTGTTCCAGGGCACTCCGGTTTGCAAGGCTAACACCCAGCACTGCTCAGCACCTCGTCAGCGCAGTGTGAATCTGCTCTTGCCAAAGAAATCTCCTGCTCGGATAGCCTCAGCTGGGGCCGTGTGGTCCATGCAACTGTCCAGCAGGTACACTGTGTTTCAAGGGCTGCGCAGCTCTATATAACAGTAGGGTGCGACATCAAGGAGCCGACGGCCAGTGGCGTGGATGTTCCTGGAAGAGCAAGCCAGGAAGGGCCCTGCCAGAGAGCGTCCAGTGCTTTAGAGACTTCCCCCAGTGTCTTGGGCTGCATACTCGCCCTCCTTGGGATCCATCGTTCAGGGTCTTAGACCATTTGCTACTTGCCTCGTTTTGTGTACAAATGTCAAAAGGAATTCGTTCTCCGCACCTTTCCAGCAGTTAATCTGGAATACTTGACATGAGCTTTGGTGGTGGTGGTGTTTTTGTGTTCCCCATTAAGTACTACTCAAACAAATCGAGAGCCTTGTATCACAGCCACTTTCTTGGTAGCGTGCAGGAAGCAGGCGGCTGGTGTGGGGGACGGATCCAGCTCCCTCCATCTGTCCTTCAGCAGTTCGATTTCCATGCTGGTCGCAGGGAAAGCGAAGCGAAGCAAGGGAAATTCCCGGCACAGAGAAGACTGACTTGTGTCTCCTGCTGATGGCCACTTGAGGGATTGGGGCAGTGGGAGAGCTTGAGGGCGGCACATGCTGAGCGGCGCTGCACTGTTTCCCCCTCCGCTCAGGCCAGTGTCGCTGTCAAGCCAAGCAGCCCTTGTGCTGGGCCCAGAACACCCTTCTAAGATCATGGTACTGTTGCATCCCTCTAAAGGATCGTAAGGATCTTACGAATGCAAGAGCAACCTCTCCTCATTTTCCCAAGCAAGCGGTATCAGAAGTATACTCCATGCTGGAGGTAGCGCATAGCCGCTGCACATGGTAGGCTTATTTGTCACATGTGACCAGGCCAGGGGCATGTGCCAGGTCTGGCTGCACAGGAGCACTTGCTTCCCTCCCGTGAAGTTTGCAGGCCACTGTTGCCCACGTGTTCTGTCTCTGAGCCTGGCTTATCGCTCTCCCACAAACAGGGTAAGAAATACAAGCCTTTGGACTTGAGGCCCAAGAAGACACGAGCGATGCGACGGCGGCTCAACAAGCACGAAGAGGGTCTGAAGACCAAGAAACAGCAGCGGAAGGAGCGACTCTACCCCCCTCGGAAGTACGCCGTGAAGGCATGAGCCTGGGGGTGCCCCTCACTCAGCTCACATTCACACATTAAAGGTGCCTGGTTCTTTGGAAGTTGTGTTTGGCTGCAGTCATTTCTTGGGGTTGCAGTCACTCCCTGACCTAGGAGGCCCTCCCACGGATGGGTTTTGAAGATGGTGAGCTTCTGATGCGCCTTTTTGCCGAGAGCAGTGTGATTTACATGGGATATCGCGACGCACTGGCGTGGAGTCGGTGGGTTTTGTGTGAAAAAAATAATTTATCTCAGTTCCGTTGTTGATAAGAGATAGTGCATCAGGAAACCAGGGAAAGAGCAAGATGCTGTTTGCTTCCTTTCTCGCAAATACCAAATAACATCAAGATGTAAGGCTGAGGGCCAGGCTTTCTAGAAAATTCTGAATTGAAAATTTCCCTGCTCCAGATGGGGGGGGGATTCAATACCAACTAGGGGTGTTTGTATTGGAAAGTTTTCAGTCAGCATCAGAAAAATCACTAGCATGTGCTACAATTTAGCACATTAACTAAATACAAGTAAAATAAAGAACAAAACTTTATTATGTGTCCCATGTTAACTTTTTGACACAAGAATGTGACCTGAAATATGTTTGGGGGGAAATTAAAGCCACGATATGAAGTCTTACATCATGGAAATACTGTTACTGGAGCGTGTGCAGACATCTAGAGACCATATATACTTGCATACCAAGAGAAGAAGGTACTGGAAATGGTTGATGCACTAAGGATGCAATTCAGTGGCCTCTGGAGTGTCTGGATGGCCATTGGGCATGTCTGTGTCCAAGCCTGGACCCCAGAAAGGATTCCGAGTTGGGACTAGGACTCCAACCGCAGAATGCTTTCTGACCTGGCAGCTGGCGTGGTTCGTTGTCATGAATCCAGAGCTGGAGCCGCAGGGAGCAGTGCGGGTGGACTGAACAGCCCACGCACGGGGCATCCTGGCAGCATCTCGGCCCCTCCTTGTGAGCCGAGGAATCGGGCAGCTGCAGCCGGCCATCCATGGCTTTTACAGGAGCGACACCTGCCTTCATGCACCTTCCTCCCATAATTGGAGGCTCACAATTCGGCAAATGTGGAGCCATGTGCAGTCACATTCAGCCCTTCCCACTTGTAATCCCAGCATTTCTGGCGGGCACAATCCCTGGGATCCTGCAGTCAGAATGAAGCACTCCGGTTGCAGAAAACGGCTTGTGCACAGCAAGGTGGCAACCATGCCTCTCACCCGAGTTCAGCTCTCACGTGGAGCTCCCTGGAGCACTTCCTTTCATTGCAGAAGAGTTCCGTTGTATATGCATGTTCTCCGACATGCCATCTGAAGCACATTAATTACAACTTGCCCAGTTGGCCTAATACTGCATTTGCCCTTGGCACCCATTCATTTTTACTAACGAACATTTTTCTGCAGGAAAACACGCTGGCACCAGTGTTTCCATCCACCCCATGTAACTGGCCCAGGCAGGTGGCAGTTGTATGCCCAAATGTCTGGAGGACCACAAGTTATTTTATTTATTTTTCGATTTTTATCCTGCCTTTTTCCTACAAAGGGCTCAAGGCAGCTTACATCATTCTCCTCCTCCATCTTATCCCCACAACAACCCTGTGAGGTAGGTTGGGCTGAGAGTCTGTGACTGGCCCAAAGTCACCCAGTTGGCTCCATGGCTGAGCGGGGAATAGAACCCAGATCGCCTGAGTCCCGGTCCCATGCTCTGAACTACTGCACCACACTGGTTATCAACCCAGAGCAGTAAAACCTTACAAAATTTCCACTCTTGGGCACAACCAGTTTTCAAAACAAGCACATGAGAGGAACTCTGCCATAGTCAAGCAGCATTTTCCCATGCTTTGAGCATAATCCCCAGAAAAGTTGCAAGCCCGCCCACCCTTGTTTTAGCTGCATGATGCCTTCCTGTCCTGGGTGCAGAGGAAGGGATTTTCCTTCTGCTGCAGCTAACAAGGGGACTGGTCTGTCTCGGACCCCTTGCACACTTGGCTGCGTGGACGTCTACAGCAACCTTGCACTCTCATCCTGCTTGCCAGACCAGCTGTTAAACGCAAGGTTGGTTTTAATGCTTCAGCGGAATTGGTGCACCTCTGTTCCGGGATGTAGGCTGAAGGACTTCCCAAAAATGTGTTCAGAAGGAAGGAAGATAACAGCTAGCAGCTACTGATAATTTGAAGACCATCCTTGTCTACCTGCCCAGATGCCCCCCCCCCCCGGGCCCCATTCTGGACCTTCTTGTAAAATTTCCACCTTACAGGGGCCTGCCTCCCCTTCCATGTTCAGGGTCTGCTCATCTTACGCAGCTCCTAATTGCCTCCTGAGATTTCATAAGGCCTTGCTTGCTTCCAAAGATGCCTTTTGAGCCATGAGGGCTAGAAACATGCTTTCCTGTTTTAACAACAGCTAAGCCTCGAAAAGCTATTTTTCCACCCATCATCCACAGAAGCCACTAATGCAGGTAGCTCTCTGTAGACAAGCCTGCAGTTGTTTTCATGTTGGATTAAGAGTTAATACCAAAGAGGGCCAAGTCCTAGAGAAGAAAAGTGCAGGGAGAAGCATGAGTCGGTGCAGGCACATGCTCCAGTGTGCACACCCTGGGGCTCATTGCAACAAACAGGGCAGCTCCTTCCTGCTCCGCCCTGCACAAACTTCACCAGAGTGTCACATTTCCAGCTGCTCTCTGCACGGGAGCTGGTAACTAGGTAAGTCACTGTTGGGGCCAGGGGTACCAAAGGGGGTGGCAGCTGTGACCCTGGAGAAAGTTTGTGGCAAGACAAGTGCCAACACACTTGAAAAGCACTAAAACAGGCTGCAGGTGCCACACAGCTGGGGAAACATTTTAACAGGGAGCCACAAAACAAGACAGTAATGCGCCTCCGGCCAGTTATGGGGCACATGGAGCTGAAGGTGGGGGAAACATCTTTTCTACCCTGGAGGTACACAGGGAGACAAAAGGAAGGCGGGTGAGGTGCCCTGTACTTTTCAAAGTCTTGCAAAGAAGAGGGGATTTCCCTGCCTTCACTTTTCTCTCTTCCTGGATGCTTTATGCTCCCCCTGCCGATAGTGGCAAGGGAAAGGCATTTTGTGCATGCTCAGAGGTGTCTGACACCACGACGTTGCCACTGGCTCCATCAAGCCCAACATTTTATATACATCCTGGAGGCTTGCCCCTACAGAGAAGTCTCCCTAGAACCCAGCGGCTTCTGGAGCGGGGGTCCCCTCCTGGCTGCGCGATGTCCCTTCTTCCTTCCTTCCTTCCTTCCTTCTCATCCCATCCGCAAATGGCGGCCACCTGTGCACAAAACGCTCTCCGAGCCACCCTTGGGAGCAGCCTCGCCTAGCCAGGCGCCTCCCGGATGTGTTGCAGTCCAGCTCCCATGTTGCTTGGCCGGGGAATGCTGGGAATTGCAGTCCAGCACACCTGGGGCGCGGCAGGGTCTCGGCCGTTCCCCCTCGGCAGCAGCCGCGCACACGCCCTGCAGGTGGGTGCGGGCCTTCCGGGTGCCGGGCGGCCGCGGGGGCCCGCAAGCCGCGCAGGCGGCGGCTGCCCGGGCGCGCAACCTCGCTGCGCCGGAGAGGGGCGCCGCGCCGCTCCACCGCCCAGCCCCTCCTGCGCAGCCGGGGCCGCCGCTCGCCGGGCGGCCCCGGCCTCCCTCCTCGTTCCCGCTGGGGCGGCGCCCGGAGCGCGGTTCAGCGCGGACTTCCTCGTTGCCGCCGCCGTCACGCAGCCGGAGGTGGCTGTCCGCGCGCGCGCGCGCTCGTGCCAGGCAGCCCGGGGGCGCGCGCCCGTTCCCCGAGCCGTGCTGGCCGCCCGCCCGCCCGCCCGCCAGCCCGGGGGGGGGGGGGACATCGGGGGCCCGCGCGCAGCACTCGCCCCTCCACACCCCGTGCCGACAGCTGCGGCTTGGCTGCGCTGCGCTGCGCGGGGCCCCCTCGCCGGTAGACCCGGCCGGGCATCGGCCCAGGGCCGCGCCGAAGATGGGCGAAAGCCCCCTGGCGGCGCTCCTCGGAGCGCAGGAAGGGCCGGGCCGGGCGGGAGTCCCTCTTGCCCTGCTTTCCACTGGCCGGGTACCTGCACGAAACCCCCTAGCGGGGCTAGCGCTCTCCCGCTCCTGTTCCCCAGCAACTGGGAATATGGGTCTGTTTGCCGCAGCCATGCATATTAGTGGGTGGCATACAAGCAAAACATCAATAAATACAATGAAACAGATTGCGTAAAACCACGGAGAGGCTTAGCTGCATGCTAAGGGGTGCCGCCCCTTTCCAAACATTCAGCCTCTGCTCGGCGACTGCTGCGTCCTCTGAGGCCGGCCGCTGCGCTCAGGCTTGTGGGCTTCCCATGTGTGAACAGGATGCCAGGCCGGATGAGCCCTTGGCCCGGCCCGGCGGGGCTCGTCTTCCATGCTGGTGACCATGGCTTGGAGGCACAGCGAGGTGTCTCCTCTGCATGGAGAAGCTCCCCAGCTCGGTCTTGGGCACCTCCAACTCACAGGATCGAGGGGAACAAGGCCCTGCTCTGGGAGAGACCCGGACAGCCAGGCCCCGCCGGTTCTGCACCAGATCGGCCGGCACCGGGGCAGCTTTCTCTAAGAATCCACTGTGTCGCTTACAGGTCTTGGGTCTCTGGCTTCCCCTGCACGGTGAGCAACACAGACAGAGGGAGCGGAGGAGAAACTGGAGACGTTACCTCAGGGAGGGGCACTGCTGCTCAGCAACAGAAAAGGCTGCTGCTCAGACAAGGCCTCGCGAGCCGCCGTCGCATGGAAAGCAACATGGCCTCTGTGACCCTTGGGCAGGCCTTCTTCCCCACGCAGCCAGAGCAGAAGGCTGAAAGCCTCGGCCCCACGAAGGGGGCCATGGCAGTCCTGCTGCAGGAGCTCTGGGGGCTCCAGCTGCCTCCGGTGGAGAAGGCGGCGCGTGTGGAGAGAGGAGCTCCCCAGGGCTGGAAAGGCCAGCTGGCCACACAGCCGCAAGGGCCGGCCACGCCGGCGTGGGCCAACTGGCAGCCGCCTCCTCTGACCCCGTCTGACGACATCGAGGCCTATTTGGCCACCTTCGAGCGTGTGGCCGAGACCTGCCTGTGGCCGAGGCACGAATGGGCGTCGCGACTCGCGCCAGCCCTCCGTGGAACGGCAGCCCACCTGGCCTTCTGCAACCTGGGTGCCTGTGACAGAAATGACTATGAGAAGCTGAAGGAGGCGGTCTTGAATGCCTACAACATCACCATGGAGACGTGGCGCCAGCGCTTCCGGCAGTTCTGCTACCCGGAGGCCGCGGGTCCCCTGGAGGTCTGTGAACAGCTCCGGCAGCTTTGCTTCCAGTGGCTGAAGCCAGAGAAACACACCAAAGAGCGTATCCTGGAGCTGCTGGTCCTGGAGCAGTTCCTGACCATCCTGCCTGGGGAAACCCAGAACTGGGTCCGGGAACAAAACCCCGAGACATGTCTCCAGGCAGCAACCTTGGCAGAAGGCTTCCTGCAGAAGTGCCAAGCAGCCAAAGTCTGCAAGCAAGAGCAGCAGGTTAGAGAACGGCCCGAGTGGCGTACCAGGCCTACGTTGCGCCGGCAGAAGAATGGTGCAAAACCCTTATCCTAGCCATCTCAATCCTTGCTTACGCTGTGGGAGAGGCGTGCATAATTCAGATTGTATTTCTGCACAGCAGTCCCACTGACACAGGGCCTGAAGCCAGCCCAACTCCAAGCCTCTGGGGTTCTCCAGAAGGCCACGTGCCCTCTCCGTGGCTCCACCCCCTTTCTCCAGCCCCCATCACTTTGGGGTGCCTGTTGCATGGTCTAAGCTAAATTAGGCATGGGGTTTTAGGCTTTTTAGCCCTGCCCCTTTTGGCTGTGGCCCTGCCTGCTGCTTAGATTCCGCTCTGAGAACTCAGGAAGGTGCAAATCTGTTTGCTGAAGAATTCCAGGCAGAGCGACTGAAACAATACCTGTATGAGAAGGTGTGCATAATCGTGCAGCAGTGTTACAAACGTCAGTGCTGAGCAGAGCACTTTGGGGGCTGGATGTCAAACGAAAGAGAGGATGGGTCAGGGGACACGGTGGTAGTGGTGGAAGACGACGACTTCAGTCCAGAGCCTTAGGATGGAATCAGGAAGAGTATTGGTGAATGTTCGTTCGGTTAGGCTTACACCTGGTGTTGCTTTTCTCCCCTGGCCCCACTTCCATGGCTCAGTTCTCACATGCACAACTAAGAGTGGTGCTGGAGGAGGGGGAGCTGCTCTGGGAAATCATTGTGAGAAAGGAAATGACTTTTCCCTCGCCCGTTTTGTGGCTGTGATCCAAGGCAGGCCTGTAGCAGCTTTCAGCTTGAAAAGCGGCCTGGCGAGTGGCTCCCGGGTCTCTTGCCTAAAGCCAAGGCAGGGAGCGCAGAGCCTCGAGTGTGGGGCCCAGTCCGGCCGACCTCGATCGCGTAAAGGCCCCTTCCCCCAGCTGCAAGCTGGCTTGCCTTCGCGCCCGTAGCTTCTTCAGGCTCAAAATGTTTCTCTTGCGCAACTGGCAGGAAGAGTGTCAAACCAAGGCCGCCCCTGGGAGCTTCTGCGGAGTGGCCTCCAGCCCTGGAGCTGCACAGAGTTCAGCAGGACGAGTCCCGCTCACCCAGGTGCCGCTGCTGGGTTCCTTGCCTCTCCGAGCGCATCCAGCGCAGCTCAGGCCAACTGTTGTTTGTTCCAGGAACTGACCGCAGATCTGGAGGAGAAAAAGCCGGTGGCATCCAGGACCAGGCAGAATTTGGCCTGCCAGGAAGACGGGTGGAGAGCGAAAGAGGTGGAGCACGGCTTGTTAGGTAAAGACAATGGTGCAGTGCAGTCAGGTCTTCCCAGCCCGTTAAACGGCCACACATTACTTTGGTCGTGATGCACATCTTGGCAGCGTGTGCGTTTTCCTGCCCCGGCCACAAGCCCACCTGCCATGGCACGCATGCTACCCACCTCAAGGTTCCCGGCAGACGGACCTGCTCAGCAGCCCCGATGGAAGAAAAGCTCTGAGCACAGGCAGGGGCCAGTCGGTCACCACAGCTGCTGCTGGCCTAAGACAGAGGTTGTTTTTAGACCTGATGCCTTGGCCCTTGGGTGGCGATTTGGGGGTGAGGGCAGGTCCTTGGCTTTGGCCCCAGAGTCCCACCCTGGTGACGCCTGGCGCAGTCGCTAGCGCGAGTGCACGTTCCCGGGTCCTGGCCCCGCTCAGACATCTCTGCAATCCTAGGAATGTGGTGCTCAGATAAATCTTCACATCCGGAGGGAGGGAGGCGCCCGTTCCTGCTTCTCTCATGATAAACCATCTGCAGGAACTCCCAAATCTGCTGCGGTGCTTGCAGAGGAAATGTGAGCAAGTTGAGGAGGTCAAGCCCCACCGTGCTCAGCAGAGCAAGCTCCCTGGTGGAATTCAAACATTCGTATTTGATTTGAAATCCGTGGTGCTTGAGATCAACACTGGAAACTTGCTTTAGAATTACTGAGTCCAGGAATGTAATCTCTGATATATTTGCATTGAGCTGCCCAAACAGCTTTGGCGACCGGGCAGAAATGTAAAGGAAGAGTAATACATGGTAGTTAACGTGTTAATATTTATTATTTAATATTGACTGCCTGCATTGCCTAGTGGTTAGAGTGCTGGGCTGGGTCTTGGGAGATCTGAACCCTAGTCCTCACATGACCTTAAGTTTCTCTGGGTGATTTTGGGCCAGTCATGGACTCCCAACCTGTCCTACCTCACAGGACTGTTGTGAGGATAAAATGCAGGGGACTATATAAGCTCCTTGTAAGAAAAGGCAAAGTATAAGTATAATCCAAAAATAAGTAGTTAGCATTTAATATCTGACTAATTAAGGTGCAATTCTGTAAATGGTTATGCAGAAAAGAAGTCTGACAGCTCCCAGCATTCCCCACCCAGAGCATCCCTCTGTGAACATTAACTATTTGATAATATCAGTATTTGCAAGAGTGTTTAATATTTTGCAATATATTCTAGGTGACATGCAATGGTATCTGTCAGCAAGTATTTGACATGCAGTGGTTGACAGTATTTCACTATATCTGAAACGAGAGCTGAAGTGGTGTTTAAAAATTTCATTAATGAAATGCAGTGTTATTTATTATTTGATAATGTTTGACAGGTAACATGCAATGACGTTTCGTAGCCGACCTCAACATGTCACGGTCTTCAGTTTTTTACATCCTTTGATTCATGACATGCAAGGGTATATAGTATTTGAGGCACAGTAAGAGTTGCGGGTGGGGGATGGGTTCATAGAGGTGCTGCTCTGATGCCTGTCAAAACGGAAGCAGTTCAGAGGTGCGGTTCGTTCTGATGTGCTTCAGGTCTGACCATGGCTCACAGTTTTGCCTCGCCTCCTGCAGTAATCTAGGTCTCTGTCTCATCAGGCCAGGGGAGCAAACGGCTTCTGCCTCACCGGCTTCCTGTGAGCAATGCAGTGACTCCCGGCGAAAAAGAAGAGGGGTCTCCCTCGGAGGAGAGCAAGGAGCCAGAGGAGCAGAAAAGGGACTCCCTAGCGAGACCCGCCGGAAGCCCTTCTCCGGGTGGTGACGAGGAATGGGCACATGCTCTGCAGTTTCAGTTAGCAAAGGATTTAGCCAAAATGCTGCGAAAGAGTGATGCTCCGGCCAGCCACTGGAGCCAGGACAGCGATGGCAGCCCCGGGGGGAAAGCAGGCATCCCCCGGCAGCATGAGAGGGGCCTCTGCAGCCCCACGGAGCTTCTCGGGACCTGGGATGCGCCCACCGAAGAGCGGCCGTACCAGTGTCCCCGCTGCGGGAGGAGGTTCGGCGAAAACGCAGCCCTTCGGAAGCACCTCAAGCGCCACTTGGCCGAGAAGCGGTACCAGTGCACCGAGTGCGAGATGCGCTTCCGGCAGAGCTCAGACCTGATCAAGCACCAGAGGATCCACACTGGAGAGAAGCCCTACCAGTGCCAGGAGTGTGGGAAGACCTTCAGCCTGTGCTCGGCTCTGTACCGGCACCACCGGGGACACTCTGGGGAGAAGCCCTTTAAGTGCAAGATATGTGGGAAAGGCTTCACGCGGAACTCGAGCCTAGCTCAACACCACCGCCTCCACAAGCAGCAGGACATGTAGCACTGGCCAGACTGAAATAATCAGGGATACCATTCGGGATTCTAATGTCCTGTGGCAGGCGGGAGGAGTCGTGTCTAATAATTGCACTGTGCAAAACTCGGCACCTGAGATGTCCAGTCAGATGTTTCACTTTAGGAAAAATTCCACAACTTTCTAGCCTTAAGATTGCCCCCCCCCCAAAAGTAAATTGTGTGGGCCTGATGCAGTATGGGGATTTTACTGGCCTTTGGAAGGAGCTATAGCTTAGTGAGGGAAGGTCCAAGGTCCAAGGTCGACAGTTAAAAAGATTAGAGAACAGGTGAGGAGAAAGACCCCTTTTCTGACTGAAACCCTAGAAGGCAATTTTGGATAAATTGTCTGACCTGATATCAGACTGCAAGAAGCTGCTCTGTTTGGGCTGTTTTTTTCCAGCAGAAAATCAGCTAGATAAATACATTCTGTTTTTTGCTTACCAACATCCACCGTCTGTCTGTCTGTCTGTCGAGCGGCATATCTACTGGTCTTCCTGCGACTGTTTGCCCAGCTGCAACGGTAAAACAATACCTGTATTGTGAGATGACTAAAAAGGTTCCAGCAACACCTTTATGAGGAACATGCAAAAGAGCACAGCGCTGGCGGTTTCTCCCCCATTTGCATGCTCCAAGGTTCACTTTGCTGGAAGGGGAAGCAAAACTCACTCTGGGAGCCAGGAGATTTGCTCAAGGATCGAGATGGGGGACGTCGTGGGGGACCCTTGTGGGGGTGAGTGAATAGACTGCACAACACTGAGAGAAGGGGATGCCGGACCCGGTGGTTTGCTTGACTGGGCCGCTGATTGGGAAGTCCTGGATGTGCTGTAGAGGAGCACCTGGGCAGAGGGGCACTTGGGATTGCTGGCCTGCATGTGACGAGGGCATAAGGTCCGCTCAGCTAGAAAGCTGACGGTGGACTTCTCTCACTTTAGCAGCTTAGCCTACCTCATAGGGCTGTTGTATTAAAAAATGTGCTGTCCAAAATAGATCTGGAGGAAGACCAAGGTGAGCATGCAAATGATAATGGGAGCAATTCCTCCGACTGCCCCATGGCCGGATTGGGGTGCAGGCACAGCTGCACAGCGGGCTGAATCAACACTACTGCCGCTTTTCTCCTGCATTCGGCTGTGACAGGAAGGCATGCCCCCCGTCTTTGTCTCTTCCTTCCCTGCTTCCCAACAGCTCTTCTCCTGGGTGGAATCGCTGCTGACATACATGGGCTGCAGCCTGTCCAGGAAACGTGTGTGGGGGGGGGTTCCCCTTCCTATTGGGTGGAATGTAAATTGGTGGATTTAAATCTACTCACAGGGCCATCTTTTCTAATGCAGCTACTGCTCTATTATGCCTCTGGCTCCAAGAATAAACTTTTGTGGCTGAGTTTTAAGTTGGTGGGGGGCCGAGGCTGCAGAATGATCCAACACAGCAGGTAGAGCTTGGCCGGGCATGAATACCCGGAATGACTGGGCAAAGGCTGGGGCCCGTTCCCTTCTTTTCCAAGCGTCACTGTGATTCTGAAGTGCAGGTCACGATGGTCTCCACAGCCTTGCCCCAAGGGGAGTTCAAAAGAGCAGGCGTCTGTGTGGCTCCCCCAGCCAAGGACCCTGCAAAGGACCCTGAATGGCCCATTCCAGCCTGGGGACCCCAAACAAGAGAACAGATTGTTCCTGCTCCCCTTCCCAGCTGCTTTGAGCATTACAGCCAAGCTCCAAGAAGTGGGGGGGGGGGAGTGGGGAGCAAAAAGACCTGGTTGCCCCACACCCCACAGGGGTGCTCCCAAGCTGCCTATCCCACTTTTGCCTCCAGAATAGTCTTCCCCAGCCTGGGACCCCTTAGGTGTTTTGGACTTCAACTCCCATCAGCCCCACCCTGTGCTCAGGAATGCTGGAAGTTACAGGCCAGTATTACATGCAGGGCACCAGTTTGGGCAATGGGTCTCCTCAGCCTGGCACTGTCCTGAGATACAGCGATGCCATCAGGGGCACACAGTCTCACCTACCTCACAAGGTTGTTGTGAGGATGAAACGGAGAGGAGACTCAGGCAAGGTGCCGCGGGTTTCTTAGAGGAAAAAATGCAGGCTAGGAAGGCAATAGGGAACCAAAGGCACGGATGAAAACCCGCAAGTCCGGTTGTCTGAAAGACACCACCCTCTTCCTCCTCTCACGCGGCGACACGCACTGGGCCTGGCGGAAGCGGGGCCCTGCAGGCGTTTTCTACCACCGACCCGCTCCACCCGACCCGCTCCACCCGGGCAGGGCAGGGGCGAGAGGCCTGGGCCGGAGGGGCGCCGCCGCCGCCGCGCCTCTCCGCCCAAGCGCCCGTGCCCGTGCCCGGGGCCCTCCCGGGGCCCGGCCGCCTCCTCCCCCTGCCGGGCCGCGCGCCCAGCGCTCTGCGTGCGCCTCGCCGGCGGCTGCGCTGCGCGATAGGCCACGCTGTGGGAGGAAGCCGGGGGGCGGGGAGCGGGGGGAGGCCGGCCTGCCTGTCCGCCCGCCCGCCTGCCTGCCGGCCAGCCGGACGGACGGACGGAGGCAGCGGGGAGGGACGGGGCCCCGCTCCCGCGCGGGCATTGCTCTCGCGCTCGCGCACACGCGCCCCGGGGCTTCGCACGAGCGCCGGCGAGCTCCCTGGCCGCGCCGCCGAACGCCCCCGCGCCTGGGAAGACCTGGAGCCCCGATGCCGGCGACGCTCTTGGGCGGCTCTGCGGTGAGGCTGGGGGGGCGGGCGGGGGCCCGGGTCGGGTCGGGTCGCGGGGCCAGCGAGCGCGCCGCGCCGCGCCGCGGGCCGGGCCGGGCAGGGCCGGGCAGGGAAGGAAAGCCCGCGCCTTCTGCCGCCCTCCCGGTGTGCCGACAGCGGCAGATGCGTTTCTTAGCCGCACGGCCAGCCCGAGGAGAGAGCCGGCTCCCTGCGGGACGTCGCTCGGCAAGGCACGCAGGCGGCACGGGCTGCTGGAAGCGCCGGCGACTCCATGCCGAGCCGCTCCGTCTTGTGCTCGAGGTGGTTTGCCTGGCGCAGCTTTTCCTGGCGCAAAGATTAAAAACATGTGATGGGACAACTTCCCCTTTTGGTTTGGTGCAGTGGTTAAAAAGGCGGCGGGCCTCACCTGCCGTAAAAGGGGGGAAACTCATAAGGGACTCCTAAAGGTTTGGCTTTTGCAGTCTCTCCATGCGAATTGCTTGCTGCTTTTTGGTTTTCCTGTCAGCGAAACAGGTGGGGACAAGTCTTACATGCGTTTAGCAGGCAGTTGCCAGCTGACCAGAAAAAGCCCAGCTTTGCTTGCTCTGGTGCCTTTAACAGTGCCAGGAAGCCAGCAAGTGGAGGCTTCCAGGAACTCTTTGGCACCTGCTCGCAGCTGCAGATTGCAGTGGCAGCTAAAGGCAGAGAAGCAAAGGTGAATTTGAAAGTTGGCAACTGTAGAGGTGCCAGTGTTATCCTTCTGTAAATGGCAGGACACCTGTGTCTTGGCTATAAGGGAAGTAGAGAAACAAGAAATGAAACGCAGAGATGCGGGGCTAGGGACTGGTTTTCAGTGGAAAGTATGAAGCAACAGCTGATGTTGTAGCCTCCAGACAATGGGGGTGGCTGAGCAGTACTTCTTGAGAAGTAGGCTGAGGTTTTGTAGGTTGGTTAGAGCTGAAATACTGAAAAAGATATCTTGGGAACGAGGCAAGCTGCGGCATGTGCAGTCGAGTGTTGCACGTAAGCCGTACTTCGTCCTCCAAATGCTAAGGAAATGCACTTGTTGAAATCGATCCTTTCAAATCCTCCGGCAGTGGATGGTCATCGACTGGTCGGCAGTATCACCAGAATGCCTTGCTCGTTTTTTCTTGCAACCACAGGCCAGTATTTCTTCGGAAGCACGTGTAGGCTTTGAAACTTGGTTAGCCAGCCACCAACACTGAAATCTTGGAAATGTTTTCTGCTCCAGGTGTGAGGCAAGCTGCAAGGCGTGCAAATTTGTAGCTTAGAAACATGAGCCGGTGGAGTCGGTGGAGTCTACACTTTCTTTACTGAATTCCAAGGAAGCTCATTTGTTGAAATCAGGGTGACTGCAAACCCTCGGGCTGTGCATGCTGCTAGACCACACTGGTGATCGCTTAGTTAAGGCCATTGTCATGTTTCACTTGGTTTGGCTTGTTTGCTCAGGGCCCTCGAGATATGTTGGACTACAGTTCCTATCAGGTGCAGCCACTATGACTGGGGAGTGATGGGAGTTATAGACCAACACATCTGGACACCCTTTCACATGAAGAAGGCTAACTTAGAGGCTTTCTACATAGGGCAGCCAACTTTTAAAATGAGCCCTGCTCCTCTGCCTCTAATGGCAAGAGTGACATGCAGAAATCAAGCTGCTGAAACATTCCCCATCGCTCCTGCATCATCCTCCCAGTGAAGGCTCCAGCCGTTTAATCTGTGCTTTTAGGGTTGCTGTGAAAGGCTGGGCTGGCAAAAATAAGTTGGCAACCCTAACTCTAAGCAGAGTGCGTTTGTGCATGTCAGTAGCCGTGACTTAGCACATCCGACTCAGCTCAGGAAGACCTGCTGATAACGGGTGGCGAGAAAGTCAACTAAAAGCGGGTATGGAATGATCTTATGCACGCGAGTGCGTCTGATATGGCTGCGCATTGATAGAGGTTTCCGCCACCGAAAAGCACTCGTGGTCTCGCCATGTGGGCACCGGGCCTGGTCAGTGCAGTTGCAGAGATGTTGTTTATTTTGGGGGCCACAAACTGGATGAAGATACAGAAAGAACATGTACAACTGCCTGCAAGAAGTCTTTTTCTGTCTGAACATGCAGAGAATTGCACTCAAAAGCTCTTCCTTCGGGCCACTGATTCCAGCCTATGGAAAAAGGATGGACCATAAGTGGAAAACTGCCCAGTGATGGGCAGATGAGGGGGCAGGGGAAGGGGCGTGGCCCTCCGCAGAACCCGGGGGCCCACCTGGCCCTTGGCTGGGGGGATTTGATCCCCTTGCTTTGAGATTTCCCATCCCAGTCATAAGCCACCCAAAGCCGGGAGGAGCAGCCGAGGCTTTTGGAGATAAGAGAGCAGCTGGAAGGAAGCGGAGATGATATTCCTGAAGCGGAGAATGCGAGGCGTGCCGCAAAACAGAATTCAGCCAGGACAAGCTTGCACCAAGGAGCCATTTCTTCCCTGGGAAAACACACACACCCTGACAAGGTCTTTCGCTCTCCATGCTCCAGGCTTCCTTTCCCGGGGTGTGAAGTGTTCCAGTTTAGGAATGAGGCTGGACCAGTTTGTCCCGCCCCCGCTAACCCCCAAGGATGCCTACGTTAATGAGTAGCTGGGCAAACAATTCCTGGCAAGAAATCCAGGCACACAATTCATCACGCGAGTGACGCACTCCGTGACAGGGTCTAGCGATGACCTGATCTGTGTGTGGCTGGCTAGCTGAACTACACCAGACTGACAGGATCCAGAACTGCTTGCCTGCCCACCCCTATCTCAAGGGCTTCGGATGTCATAACAAGCAATTTCAGAAAATAAAGCTAAAATGAGGGCTGTCCAAGATGTTTGGGGTCATCATGAGACTGGCGAGCTGCAAGGCAGTCTTGCCCAAACTCCTGAGCTGCTCCAACTCACTTCCTTTGTGGAAGTGGCTGAGTCCAGAGCAGGACTTGAGTGCAGAGAGCCTCCCCTACGGGGAACAGTTAAGAGCAACAACTTCCGCGAGGCCTCAGCCAGACCCTCTGCAGCCTCGCCCCCTGCTCCGGCCACTGAGCGCTTGGGGGCTCGCAGGTCTTCTGCGTCCTTTCTGAAAGGCAGAATTGCCTCTCTCAAGCCCTTGTGCCTGGCAGTCAAAGCTTTAAGCTAAAACGTGCTGGCAGCATTGGGCTTCGATCTGGGGATGCCAGCCCTGCTCTTTTTACATTTGTCCCCATACGTTCCTGCAAAGGAGTCTACAAGAACGTCTCCAAAACTGAATCCAGGCCTCCAGCTGAAAGAAGTTCTGACATCATGGAACGATGGTGCAGCATTACTCAGCTTTGTCACCAAGCTGAGGTCAGCCCAGTGCCTCTGGGAACCTGACCTCTAGCCAGATGAAGAAAGCTATCCCACGTCACCACGAATGCGGTAAACTGGCTCGAGAGATACCAAAACGGGAATCCGGCGCATTTGTGTTCAATGGATTTCCTGACGACTGGAAGTGAGCCGAGTTGGTTACTTCCAGCAGTTTAAGGTGGACCACAATGTGTGCATGCGTTAAAACTGTGTGTGAAATCCGTTTAGATGCGCACCTGCTAACCACATCATCACATTGCTGGCACGTAATTTGTGCAGAGTAGCTGGATCTGTGAAAATCCGAACTTGCCGTGTTGTGTAACCTTCTCCTATGCTGCCCCATATTTAACTTTCCTCTAAGCTGAACAGCCCCAGACATGGGAAGTGCAACTTCTCTTTGAAATGGTTTTCGAAGCCTTTTCCAACCCTTTCTCGGCTCTAAGAGACCCTTTTTGTGATGTACCTACCAGGCGTGTACAGACTGTTTCAAGTGTGGTCACACCACAAATGTGCTTAAGACCGTTTTCCTTTCAGTTTCACTTTCCAGTATCAGCATCAATGCAGTCCCACGGGACAGGTCACCTATCTGTGGCCTCAGTCGGCCTTACAACAGCCCAGTAGAGTAGGCCCCTGCAGTAACCGCTTCTGCGCAAGCTCAGAAACACGGGCTTGCCCGATAGCTTTCCCTTGCCTTAACCTCTTGCCCACCCTCCTTGAGAAGAGGGCCGGCAAGCAAGCAATCTGCAAGAGCTAAAATGTATGGTCCGATATTTAATGGTTGCATGTTTACTCTGAAGTAAGTGCCAGTAAATTTGGGAGGGCTTATCCTAAGCAAGAGTGCATCTCTTGCATCTTACTGAGATGCTTCCAAGGCAAGCCCCAAGGTGTAAAACACACAATAAGCGAGAAAAATTAGCACACGTTAACCACCTAGCTTTAAGCATTCTAACTGATGAACTATAATATATAAAGCATTTTAAAAAGCATTCAAGACGTCCTTGCCTTTAATTCTTTATGCTTCTGAATCAAGCTGAAGCAGAGACATTTCCCTCTTCTATCCATGTACATGCAAAGTTGCTCTCCGTGGTTCCTTTCAGCCGGTGCATCTGCCTTGGGAAGCCGCCGCCGCCGCCGCCGCCGGGTGGTGCTGCAGTCCCAGAAGACGCAAGGAAGGAAGGAAGGAACCCTGTGCCCAGACTATCCAGCTGGAGCACAGCGCTGACCTTCGGGTATCCTGCCCTCGTTTTAAAGTTACAGGGGTCACAGAATGGCCTGATCCAGAAGGGACCCTCCAGAGGGTTTGGACTACAGCTCCCATCATTCCTCTCTGTTGGCCATGCAGGCTGGAACTGATGGAAATGGTAGTCCAAAGCCTCTGGAGGGTTCCCAGCTGCAGAAGCCTGCTGCGATTCTCCTTGGCAAAGGCAATGTCATGCTAAGCGTGTGGAAAGTCTTGCGTGTGGAGCCCCAGAATCCCGACTTGGTGTATCAGCTGATGGGATCTGAGCTGTGGGACGGACCGGAACGGGGTCCCAGGGCTGGGCACCCAGCGGCCTGTGAGACAGGCGGGCTGCGCATTTGGCCTAAAGGGAAAGGAATTTAGGACATCTCAGACAATGTCCCTCTCACCTTCAATACATCTCAGAATGTGTGTGTGTGTGGGGGGTGATGGTAGATAGTGTGGCATAGTGGTTAAAGTGTTGGGCTGGTGGGACTCAGAAGATCTGGGTTCTAGTCACAGGCTTTCAGCTTAGCCTACCTGACAAAGTTGTTGTTGTTGTGTGGATAAAAGAGAGAGGAGAGGCCTCTGGACAGCTGAACCAGCCACCTAAGGACGGCGCAGGTGTGATGTGTGTCGACTGTGGAGACCACACGGCGGTCCCTTTCTCTGCCGCCAAATGCCTGTCCACATTTGGGCGGGGGGGAGGCTGGGGTGCTAACTGGGACTGGGATGACTCCACTCTGCTCCCCTCTGAACCTCTGCAAAACTTTATGGTTCCTTGTTGTGCTGTCCAATAGCACAATAATAATGATGATGATGATGATAATAGTGGGTGCAATCCCTGCCAGAAGCGCCAGTCCGCAGGCAGGTTGCCTGCCGTGTCTCTGCGTGATGTACTGCCCGAGCCGCACCGCCTCCTGCCCTCAGTCAACCTCTGCCGAGAGCAGCCCATTTCTGCCATGCTGGCATCAGTGCAGACGCCCCGTCGGACTGCTGCCAGCACACACGTCGCAGCAGGATGCTCTCGCTCGTGGAAGAGGTCGCTTGCTTAATCTCGGCATGTGTCAGTGCGCTGGGCTGGAGGCCTCGTTCCCGGGAGCATCCCTGCGCAAGACAGTGACTCACGGCAGAAACGGAGCAGTGAGCTTGTAGCCTTGCATGTTTTTGAGAGAAAGTGTGAGGAGTTCATCCGAGGTCATTATCCTTGTGTGATCTTGACGAGCAATCAAGCCCCATTGCTGGCAGGTAGGAACAGACACAGCAAAGCCTTCGAGCGGACATGCAGCTGCTCGAGGGACGCCTGGTGGCACCTGGGTCGCGTCCCCAGCCTGGCCCTTGCGTGGGCTCCCAGCTCTGGCCAACTCCATTTCCTGGGGGGGAGGACTGCCCCACAGCAGTGGGGAGCTACAGGTGTGGAATTTCAGCCAGCTCATCTGCCCAGGCAGAATCCAACAGGATGGCCCACTAAGCTAACTGCTCATTAGGGAAGTCTGTCAGCCAGTGGCTACAGTCATCACTGCAAACTTCAACCACACGGGCTCTTTTAAATTAATCAATAGGTACTTTAAAAACACAATAACCCAGGTGCCCTCCCCTGAGGATACATGCCAGCCAATTTCCAGGTGCCCAGGTTTCTTGGTTTTGATGCTACGGGGTTAATGGACGGACGGACAGACAGACAGACAGACAAGCTTTCTGTTTTATTATTATAAATGCTTGTCCCAATTCTTCCTCCTAGGAGCTCATGGTGGCATCCATGGTGTTAACTTACTTTTGCCTCACAGAGACCTTGTAAGTTAACTGGCCTAAAGCCACCCAACAGAAGGCCAGAATCCAGCAGTCTAACCACTGCACCACACTGCCCTCTCCTGCTGTTCTGATGCTTCTTTTTTCCCCTCCCAGATAAGACAGTTCTACGAGGCCTGCAGGAAGAGGTTGGGATGGATGGCCGCAAGGCGCCCCAGAAGCTCTCTCTCCTCTCCTCCCCAGTCCGGGCTGTCATCCGCCTGCGGAGGACGGCGCACCTCCTGAAAAAGGGCCTGTTGCCTGGGGACCCCCAGGCCAAGCTCCTGCAGCGGCAGATATCCCTGGGCAGAGCCAAGGTGGGCGCCGCAGCCTCCTCCCTGCTGAGCCAGGCGAGCTTCGAGAGCTCACAGTACTTTACCTTCGATACCTCGGCGCTGCCATCCCCGTCAAAAAGCAGCAAACGGAAGAAGAGGCTCAGGAACCCGCGGGTGCTGTACCCAGACTCCTCGAGGAAGTACCTCCCGGTCGAGCACAAAAGCAAGGCCAAGAGGTGCCTCCTCCTGCTCATCGGCATCGTTTGCTTCCAGATCCTCAATGCCATCGAGAACCTGGACGACAACGTCCTGAAGTACGACCTGGACGGGTTGGAGAAGACCATGCACCGCGAGGTTTTTGGGCAGCCGCTCGCGATAGAGAGCATCATGGGGCTGCTCAAAGACTACCTGGCGACTCACATACACAGCAAGCCCTTGGTGATCTCCTTCCACGGCCCGAGTGGGGTGGGGAAGAGCCACGTCGGGTGGCTGCTGGCCAAGCACTTCCGGTCCGTCTTGGGCCACGGTTTTGTGCTCCATTTCTTCACGATGCACCGCTGTCCGGACCCCACTTCTGTGTCGGCTTGCCAGGCGGAGTTGTCCGAGGCGATCGGCGACATGGTAGCCCAAGCAGAAATGGAGGAGAAGATCCCCGTGTTTGTTCTCGACGAGGTGGAGTCCATGTCTCCGGCTTTGCTGGAGACGCTGGGGGGATTCTTCCGGAAGAACCAAACCAACGAATTCCTCAACGCCGTGTATGTCCTCATAAGCAACCTGGGGGGCAACGAGATCACCCAGGACCTCCTGCAGAACGTCTCCAGCTACCTTCTGGATCCCCAGAGGAAGGTGGAGGAGCTGCGGACCACCCTCCGCCCCGTGCTTCACAGCCTCCATCCCCTATGGACCCTCGTCGAGATCATTCCCTTCATGCTGCTGGAGAAGAAGCACATCCAAAGCTGCTTCTATGAGGAGATGATGACGGAAGGGATCTATCCTGACCCGGGCCACATCGAGCGCCTCACCAGGCAGCTCAACTATTACACGCAAGGAGGCCATCAGTTTGCCATCAACGGTTGCAAGCAGGTGGTAGCCCAAGTTAATCTCCTGTGAGGACTGGTGCAAAACCGGCACTCGAGTGTTTATTTCCTTGTGTGTGCATCTCGGGCGATGCGGGTCCCCTGCAGGGGCTGACCGAACGGCTGTTTCAACCCGATGGGCTTTCACCAGCTGAGGCACCTCACTTTAGATTTAAGGATATGTGGGAACGAACCAAGCCGCCTGTGCCAAAGATCCCCTACATGGACTACCGTGATGAAATAAGGATGCGGAATAGAAACAACTGAAAGAAAGCTTGGGGTCCCTTTCTTCATGGCCACAGCTGTTCCCTGAATAGCCCAGGGGTTGCTCCGTGGGCCTTCAAAGTTGCGTGGGCGAGCCCCACATCAATTCCTCTCCCCAAAACAAGAACAAAAGAACACCTCTTGCCATGGATGTTACAAAGTTCAGTGCACACAGACTCCAACCCCTGTTCTGGAGAGACAGTGGGATGAGGGGAGAGGGTAGTGAACGGCTTCAGTAAAGGAAACTGAAGTTTTGTGCTCACAGCAAAAGCAGCTCTTATCTAACAAATACACCTGGGGAAAGCCATGATCTCTGGTGTACTTCCTCAGAAGCTGCAGGCCATAAAGGCCTTGGCCTGGCTTCAGGAAATGATTCTGGCTTCTGGGCACCGGAAATGTTTACTATTCTGCCTTTGAACCTTTGCCATCCTTCTGGTAGAGCCCATCCAATGTGACACGAATGAGAGTTGCACGGTTTTTTAAAAATCGCCAGGAGCTGGCACTTGGAGGCTATTGACTCTTCTGCTGAGCTCCTAGGCCAACACAGATTTGATCCCGATGCCCCCTGGATGCAGAACTGCACGGACCCCTCCCTTCGACTTGCCTGACTCCTGATGACGGGGTTCTGCTCTTATGGGGCCAAGGTGTGGGTATCTGCAGCTCACATCTGGGTTGCCCCGACGTCCTGCCAGCCACGGGTTAACTGGTGCTTTCCAGGCTTTTCTGCCATTTCCCCCACCTTCCAAAAAGTTGAAAGGCTTTGTCACTGATTATAATATTAAAGTGAGTTGGTATTTTTTGTATGTGGGCCTTTCGTCTTTGGCCCAGCCCACCTCTGCAATACGGTTCCCCAGAGCTTCTCTGGAACGGCATCCGGCCCTCGGGCTGCAACGGGCTCTGCGCTCCTGTTGCGGGGGGGGGGGGTCTGTCTCGTCCTGCTGCCAGGGCCACCTCCCTGCTCCAGCCACTCCGAGATGACCAAGCCCTTAGTGGGCCCCCTGTCGGAGTCAGCTGGGGCTTTTCCCCTGGGGTCTCTTGCTGGGGGTCCCAGCACTCAGGGGACTGGGACCAGCACGGTCTTTCCACTGGGCTGCCTGCGCTTTCAGATGCTGCCCAGGCTGCCCCCATCCCCCTCGCCCTGCACAGCCCTGGGCCCTGGCTCTTCAGGCGAAGCAGCTCATCCCCGGGCCGCAGGCGCTCGTCTCAGCCCCTGCTCCCCCCGCCATTGCAGTCCTGCAGCAGACGTTTTCGGCCATGTGCCCCCCAGCTCCCTTCGGCTGGAGGCCACTCCTGCTGCGGCGCTGGGGGAAGCCGGCAACTGCAGGGTCTGCACACCCCCACTCAGTCCCTGTGCCAGACCCTTTCCGGCTGGGCCTTTCAGTCCGTCCAGACTGTGTTTCTTCCTATGCCAGGGCAGGATCTGGCCACTTCTTGGGGCAGGGTGGAAGAGGCTGTTTTGAAAAAATGCCTTCCTAAGAGACATGTCAGAAGAAAGAAAGTGCAAAGATCTTGGATCCCCAAACCTTTTGGGCAGGTGGGCATATCTGGAATCTCGCTCAAACCAGCGATCACAGCAAGGGCCATCACATGGTGACCATGGGGTGTGACCAGTCACAGGGCAGCGCGCAAAGCTTTGCTGTGGACCAAAGTCTGGGGCAGAGGTGGGGCCCATGCGCCAAACCCAAGACACTCTTCTGAACCCAGAGATGGTGCCTTGGAAGGGCCTTTCAGGCATGGCAGCTTCCCACTTAACAAAAAATAATTGAAAGGCATTTCAAGAAATGCAATTGTAAAAATTGGCAGAGGCAGAGAAACACCTAACCTTTTTTCAGTCTGTGTGTGCGCATGTGGAATTTTAAATAAAATTAGACTCAGGAGGAGCAGGGAGTCCAGCAGAAGCTCTCTTTCTGCATTTGGGATGCCAAAGATACCAGGATTAGAAGACATCTTACATGAGTCCTAATGGCTTGAACAAACTACATGGTTGAAAAATGTTCTGTATGTTGTATCTGCCCCACATCTTGCCAGTGACATGCAAAACACAGTTTTCTCAAGCAGATCGTAGGATCCAGATTCGGTGAGGTGAACTGAGCTCCATTTTGAAGGCGATGTAAATCATGCCAGTGTTGGCCGCCTGGAGTAGCGAATGTGGAGAATCCAATAGGGCAGGAACAACCGGAGAGATTCGCTCAATTCCTTGTGTCAGTTCTACGCCGATGCATGTTGAGCCGGTATGCAGACACCCAGCTTTGAAACAGGTTGCCATTTATGTAATTTTGGTTTTGGTGCTAGGGACCCCTGCACTTTTACACAAATGGTGGAGTCCCAAATTTTGCACTAATCCGAAATTCAAGGTGCAGTCCTATGCAGGTTTGGACAGAAGAAAGGCCTGCAGCTCCTGGCACGCACCTTTTCAGTCTAAACTGTACTCTGATGAAAGGCACGGGGGCGACGTGGTGCATGTGCGTATGCGGTCAGAGGACTACTCGTGTGTAATGCTGCTGCTGCTGCAACAACAGACGTGACTTGAATCTAACGAGTTGACCCGGTTTGCACCTCTTGCACAGCTCTCGACTCCAATTGTGAGCAACTTCCAGGAAGCCAAGTGAGACCCCGATTTGGCCCACTTCTGGGTGTTGCACTGCAGATGTGCTGAGAACCCAGTGATTTTAGTAAAATGGAACCAGCTTTCCAGTGTCGCATGTCCTAGTCTGGGCCAAGCCAGGTGCTGGGAGCTGGGGCCAAAGAGCCGCCAAGATCCAAGATTTTCGCAAACCATGGATGCTGTGCTTCTTTTGTTTTATTGTAAGACCGTCCTGAGACCACATGGTAATGGACGGTATCTAAAATTTTTAAATAAATTAATTAAGCAAGGAGTCCAGGTCATGGAGTGAGACTGGAGACACCAAACAGTGTCGGAACTCAGGTGTGCAAAGCAAAAATCGAGGAGGCACGCGGGCCTCCGACATTCCTCCCAGAGGCGTACCTGGCCCGGCTCCACCTGGAAGGCTCTTTCCGGAGAAGCTGCAGCGCCCTGGCTGAGGATACAGGGTGGGTCTGACCCACGACTCGTCTGCACCTTTTCATTCAGCGCAACCAAGTTGGGATTAATCCCTCCAACCTTTAGTCAGGATTAGTCCCTGGATCATCTTTGATCAATAAAAAGTAAAAATACTGAAGAACAGAAACGAAAGAGTGGCCCGTTGACCTGCCTGGGCAAAACCCTTGGGCAGGCTGGTGTGGGAGACTGGCCTGGCCAACAGCCAAAAGTCCACTTCCAAAGCAGCAAAACGGGGAGAGGTTTTGCCGCAGGGCTAGAAGTAGCACGGAAGCCCATGGGCTGCACCGCACATCAGGGGAACTCGGGGGCCACATTCCAAAGTGAGAGGATCAAAGGCAGATGGGATGAGCGTATTTTTGCTCAAGGTCCTCCCTGCATCTAACTAAGCCTTGGGGGAAACAAGTCAAAATGTTAAAATGAAATGTGTGTGTGTGGGGGGGGGGGCGGTACACAAAAGCCAGGAAGAACTCTTGATGATTGCGGGGTGGAGAGAGAAGGGGACTGAGCGTTTGAGGAAGCCTGGATTTGGCCCCAGGTTTGTGGCTCTGCACGTTTGCCACCCGCCGAAGTCTCCCCCGGCCCAGCGCGTGCTCCGCACAATGTCATTTTCTCTTGCCTGGACAAGGGAGGTGTCTTCCCTTCCCGAGTTGGACTTATGCCAGTGGTCCGGCTCTCGGCAGAGCCAGCAGCAGGCCTTCGATGCAGCCCACCAACACTGGGGCTCTGTGCCAGGGAGAGCATCTGTCTGGCGGGAGTGGTTTTCTGCGAGGCGAGGTCCAAAGAAGCTCAGAACCCGCACGGCCCAAGAGGGGAGCTAGGAAGCAAGTGGGGAAAGAGGGACATGTGAGCCCAGGAGAACGGAGAGCGTTGTAGGATCCACCTGCAAAGACCAGAGCTGAGGGCTTTGCAAGTCACCGTCTTAGGGCAGTGCAGAAATCCAGCCCCCTGGGGTCCGAATCTGGCATCCCATAGGATCCGCTGGCGGCATTCCGAGGCTCCCGCCAGTCTGCAGAAGTACACAGCCATTGCTTCCTCTCCCTGCATCCCAAAGAGAGAGAGAGGGTATCCCTCCTGTGATCAGGAAACCGATCCAGAGTTTTCCCTGCAGGGATACAACCCAAAAATAACCTCCAATCGCATATTCGTGCTTATGTAATTGGGGCTGAGGCAAATGGTTGGATAAAGCAGGTGTGTTGACTCATTTTATTTCTTTTAAGTTTTGTTGTGTTTTGTGCCCTGGCATATTAATAACACCTCCCTAAAAATAGCAAACTATAATCAGAAGTGTTTGAGGAAGTGTGTGTGCGTTTCTTGCCCACACGCACAAGATATTTGTCTGGTCAGGTATAACTGCTTACCCTGCAGGAGACCGTCCGCCTCTGGAAATTAATTACAATAATTATCAAGCAAATGAGTCACGAGAAGCAGGGTGCTGATTCACCAGTCTGTTTCGCAGGGAGGTAGTGCCTTTTGCGGGGGGGTATTTGGAGGTGCCGTTAGCTGGCAGTACAAAAGAAGTTTCTAGGTGAGGGGCGAGGGGTGTCTACCATGCCCTGCTTTAGTCATGGGATTTTTCGGTGGGTCCACACCGCAAAGTCTTTCGCTCATAACTTCATTGCCATGTTTTCCTTGCTGCAGAAAATCCATTAAGTAGCAGCGCTGGACTTCCAGTTTGGAAGCACCTTCAGATACAAGAAAAGTGGTGTCAGGGACCTCTTGAGAGCTAGCCGCTTGGCTGAACTGTTTGGAGGCAAGGGAGCAGGTGAGAGCAGTCTGAAAAGCCAGGTCGAAGTCAACAACTTTAGAGGCCCGGGTGGCGCTGCGTTGGCCCAGGTGCCCCGGTCACTGCCAGGCTGGGAGCTGCAAAAGCACCCGCTGGCCGTCCCCACTGGGAACGTGACTGGAACAAAGAGGAACCAAGGAAGCCTCCGGACTGGCTGTGCCTGAGGTTTGTACGAACCTCCGAGAGAGCCCCTTCCCCTCTCCTCTCAAAATGTTGACTGAGACTTGCTAGTCCATCTTTCCAGGGGATTCAAAGAGTTCACTTGCTGAAAGAACCGTTCTTGTCTCTAGGGCACATACATGGAAACAGACGTGTGTGGACTAGAGATGGATGGATCTGTCAGTCGCGACCGATCTCAGTTTCTCATTTTTCCAAACTTAATTGGGCTCCTCTGAACAAGGAGAGGGTGCTTTGTTTTGTTTTGCTCTTAATTCCAGGGCTTGCTGCTTCTCTTCCCCGCCACCGCCTGCTTGTTTCCCTTGCCCAGCTCACGGCAGTGCTGGGGCGCAGCCACGGCCCAACCGTCCCCGGACGTTTTTCCTGGCAAGCCCGCCATGATGAGCAGGAGACTGCAGGGAGACAGTGGCCACCATGGCGAGAAGGTGAATGCTCTGATGCGGGGTGTCCATGGGGCCTCCTGCCCACACGCCTCCCAAAACCTGGAGCCGCCGTGTTGCTGTGTGCACCTGGATGCTGCTTCCGGCCCCGTCGTCAGCCGGCACGCTTGCATGAACTCCAGCGCCCTGCCAGCCTCTCCGCACCACCTTCTTGGCTGTTAGAGCCACACTTCTGCTGGCTCCTGCATTTCTCCAGAATCTAGAGCCCAGGCGGGCAGCGGAAGGGTTTGGAGTCTCCCATGCACGCCCCCTGGGTGGAGAGGAAGGGCATCCGGTACACTCCCTGCGGTGAGTGGGCGCTCCGGGAAGGCAGGTGAGGCCCCGAGACTTGTCCGTATCAGTCACTCCTGGGGAAATCCTCCGGCTTGCCCCTCTCCTGCTGCTGCGAGAGCGGCTGGCATCGGAAGAAAGGGAAGGAGAGGGGAGCAGAGGGTGTGGGCGAGCTTGAATGGCTTCCGGGCTTTCTGCTAAATTAAATTTCCCCTCCAAGGGTGCGCCCCAAAAGTGCCCTGGGCTTCGACAGGTCGTGCCGCGATAATACCCGCCCCCCCGCAGAGTGTTGCTCACACACGGCTTGTTACCGCAGCATCAGGCCTATCCCGTTTGTTGGCCTGGGTCCTTGGCCACGGGCCTGAAGGGGCACTGCTTCCCATCATCCTCCCCAAACTGCGGTGCAAAAGGACACACACGGCCCCAGATGACACCGCAGCACAACACCGAAGCGCATGGCAAAACGAGAATGTAGGCAGAACGGGCACCTCTAGGCTCAAGATGCTGCACGGTGAGGACTGCCAACTTTTTTAGACTGGCCGGACACTTGAGGCTTTGCCGCTTCGCTGTGGTCCAGATGTCTGATTTACGGATGTGTTTCTGTGCTTGTGGCGCTTGTCATCGGCTCGGCAAACGCTTCCAGAGTGGCCCGTGATGGAGTGCTGCATATGCAACAAACGACACTGAAGTAAAACGGGAAAGGGTTGGATTCGAATTTTGCAGATGCAGCTCGAGTTCCTTGCCCATTTCTTGCTGCTACAGACTTTCCAGCACCCTGGAAATGCTGCACAGAAATTCACGAGACCCTGCTGAATGGGGAGCACTGTATTGTCCATGTGGGGAACAGGGGGACTCCCCCAAATCAGGTGGATCCGAGATGCAGCCCAAATATTTTTTAAAAGGCAGCATAACCAAAGACTGGCTTTCCAGCAAGGAGGAGGAAGTGCCAGCTGCCCCTGTGGCAGAGTCCCCTGTCCTTTGAGTTCCTGTACTAGCCACGAGGTGGGACTTGGAACTGAAAAGAGGCAAGTGCAGAGCAGGGACTCGTGCAGAGTTGCACCGGGCACCCCCCTGAAAGGGCAGTGCTTCTGCTGCACCTCCACGAGGGGGATGAGAGAGTTCCGTCACCCATGACGTAGTGCAATGACCCGTCCTGGGCAGAGGCTGATAGGACAAGGCAAGGATCGGCCAGTGACTCATGCAGCGCTGCAGAAGGACAACCCGTCCCACAGATGGGTGTTTAAGGGCTCCCAACTGAGGCAGTGCTTTCGATTCCATATCATGAATAATGCTCAATTGTTTATTACGCTGACACATGGGCACATTAAATCGAACCATTTGTTTCAAGACGTGCAGAAACCGGGCAGTTCTTTTGCGGCAGGCTGTAGTACGGTCATTGGGGAGGTGTGGCAGGCAGAAACCCAGCAGATGCAGCTTCTCCCATGGCGGGGGCCAAAGCCGCACTGCCAAGTTGCTCTGCTTCATGGGGAGCCGGAAGCAGGTGGGACTCTCCCCCCACGCCATCAGGCACTTGGGCCCTGTTGGGAAAATTCAGGGAAACCCTGGCAGAAAAGGGCAGCTTATATGTCTTTGTGTTATAAAATGCCTGAGCCCCTGTCTCAGGAAGCAGCCAAAAATGCCAAGCCATTTGTTTGGCATTTGCTGCCACTTTAAGAAGTGGGGCTTGATGGCTTCCCTGAAGCTGCCAGGGCTGATGAGGCTGCCAGGTTCACAGCACTGCAATCAGCCTCATTTGCTTGCCAAGACCCACAAGAACCCCTGTGCCTCAGTGATGGTCGTGTTAATCTCCTGCAATCAAGTGCCATGCACCATGCCGACCTCTCCCCTTCCTCCGACTGCCTTCCCCTTATTTCGTCATCCACTGCCCTTCTGCTGGGCCATGTGACTCAGAATCTATAAAACACTCTGTGCATGTTCTGAAAGCTTGTCCTTGGCGGTGGAGGCCACTACCCGGGAGCATGCTGCCGTCAGTCACTGCCGGGGGCCTGGGCGATCTCACCCATGGAAATGAACCCCGGCGATTCCATCCTCCCTGCGGGTCCCGGTGAGCCATTCTCGCTCTCAGTAAAGGGACTCTGACAGCCCCTCCAGGCTGCACGAGGGCCTGGCTCTTCCCCCCCACCC